GTTTAATTAATTAGAAAACACAGCTTTTTTGATTTTCCTGCCTCGATAAAGCAAAATTAATGAAATTTATTATACTTACGTAATGCCACATGTATAAAGAGCGAGCGATAGTTTAATCTGAATTTTTCTTTGTTAATTAAATACCGTGTATGAAATTATAAGTTTATACACCAGATTTATACATGTATATAATAATTTATTAAAAAATTTAATGGAATATTTTTAATTAATTTTCTATTATATAAAACTTGCTATTTATACGTAATTTATGCTGCAAATAAAGTGAATTGTATAAACTCTTCTAACTTACTGGTGCTCATGCTGTGAAAAGCTTTGCCGAAACGAAAATAGTGGCGTTTAGTTTATTGCCACGTCTACCAATGAAAAGCGAAATACTTTTACATAAAATGTAATATTAAAAATCGACTATAACTTAAATACAAATTACAAGATTAACGATAGAAAAAGAACTTTGGCTGTTCCATTAAATAGAATACGTAAATTTAAATACAAAAAATAATAACGGAAAAACAACACAAGAAAATTATTGAAAAAAGTGTGATTGTAGGGTCGGTGTCTCTTTGACACCACGTCAGGAGACCTGAATCTGACACCACCGAATCTCGCAAGACTCGGAAATCGCGACGTTACGTCACGCGAGCGGTAGCGGGTGAGCGATTGGATTCGGAATAGAGGTGAGGAGAGAGACGAGAAAGTAAATTAATCGGATTTCATGGTTGCTAACAATTAACAATTTTAATGAAACTAAAGGAAATACAGAGAGTCAATTTCGGTCATAGTTCCCCTATTTAAGAGAGGCCCGTGGAGAGAGAGAGTTTACAAACGAATCGCGGGTTGATAAATACCTTGTCGATGGACTGTTGTTTCCACTAGTTCCGAATCTTGTTCGTTTACTGGTGTGGAGGCACAGAGGAGTGTAGAGGCTTAATTAGGCACGATTTTTTTCTCACGGTTTTAATCCTGAGTCACGATTTAAATTCTGGAGGACGACTTTGTTGGGCAGACTTTTTGAAGACGACTCTCCTCTTGAGGGTTTTTGGTTTGTTTTTTGTAATTCCTCTTGGGTTTTTCCATTAGGTTAGGTGGTTGTTGTTAAGGGTCTGGCGTCCAATATGGATTCTCCATCGAAAGTTCCTGGTGACACATCCCTGACTAACTGAATCCGACTGAACAAGGAACACACTCCGTGGGAAATAATTTTTATGGCTTTTAGCCTAACTCGATAAAATGCTCGAATTTAACCGATTAAAGTTTCCAATAATTAAAATTTGAAATAACACTTTATTGAGGGTTGTTCGGCCCTCACAAAATAATACAAATACAAATATACAATAAAAAACAAAGTCAGACATAGTAATAGAAAATAATAAATAAAAATAAATGCACTAGTTAGCCTAATACTTTAAATAAACATTGTTAAGGAATAATTGATGAAATAAGTAACTATTTTGTCATTCAATCCTACTGATGTTTAGATCTAACATTAAGCAGGCAAACACGAACAGTAACAAAAAAGAACTTTATTAGAAAAGGTTAGAACTGTCACAGACATCCACGGGCAACACCCGGACAAAATCCAACGAACTTTCGCGCCTTTTCCTTTTTGACGTTGCCAGCCACTCTTGTTGGCAAGTGTTGCCAAACAGAGTTCGTGATCTTGGCAAGTGTTGCCACACAGTGTTCAGGATCTCTGGCGCTGGCGGCCACAGCTACTCCCCCACCAGTGTCTGAGACACGAAACGAACAGGAAACGATACATGTCGGCCAGAGCGCGTGGTAGTTTGTCGCGTTGGGGCTCGATCTTCTGTCGTATGTTTAGTCGTCGCTGGTCTTGGCATTGGAGACGTTGGGGGTAACTGGTCCGACTCGCTCGCTGCGAGAATAAAAGCCGGTTTCAGGCGATCAATAGAAACTACAGTTTCTTTTCCCTTTATGCATAGAGTGAATGTCTTG